AAACTTGCAGGTGTCACAGACAAAATGAAATGGCCCTAGACACCATGCACAGACTTCCTGCTTCAAGATGCTACAGACTTTTATGTGGGTTCAAAAAGGTGCCAGACAAACTGATGGAAGAAAGACTGTGGACTGTTATATACAAAGATAAGATGTCTGCCTCAAGAGGTCCAAATTTAGACATTGCAGGAAACCAAGGCAGTATTCTGAGAGGAAAAAAAAAAAAAAAAAAAAGAGGAAATATGTTTGAGCATTTATTACAGAAAGCCTAGTTTTTCTTCAGAGAAGAATTGCAGCTTGATTGTGTTCATTTTGTACTGTAGCCTTAGTCTACAGATGGGAGCAGGAGATTCTTGATGCCCCTTCACCTTGTCTGTACTGAGACAGCATAGAGAGATACTGCTAAAATACAAACTGTTGAGCTTTGTCTTGAGCTCTTTTTCTGCTCTGTGTCACAGGCATGGAGGTAGAAGAGACAGATTACATCCCTGCTTTTCAGGTCCTCTAAAATTGATTGTATAAGGCAGAGTTTCTTTCCTCATTCTCTTCAGCTGTGCCACATTCATTTTCACTTTATTAGAGGGTCATAGTCTTCACGGAGTCTATACATTCCTTGCTTACCTGAAAGCTTTTGAATTTCAGAACTAGATTAGTCTTTACCTTTTTATATTAATAAGCTAGCTGGTAAAAGAGGAGGCATTAAGCAGCTTCAGGAACTGTGTTATTTGTGATAGCATGTTTACTATTTCACACAGCTGCTGTTATTGGCTTTTGCTAAGAGATGAGTGTAGCTGACAAGTTCCTCATCTGTGTAGCTGTCAGGACAATAGCAAAAGTCAGGCAGCAGGAGTTTTTATTGTCCCAGAGCTCTCCTGAGTACTGTTCCAGTCACTGATGGACATGCTACCCTCATTCTTCCATTCTGAAGTTTAGTTGTCACTTTGAGTCAACAGGGTTTTGCTGGAACCATTACAACTTGTTTGACAAAGACCAGTTTCTTTTAGGCTAACATTAAGGTAAATAGTGTTGCTAGCCAGTTACAATTCTGATGGCTGGGTTTTTTTCTTCTTTTTTTTTCTTTTAATTGGTTGTTTTTTTTAAGTTTTCTCCCATTAGACTTTCCTAAGGTCTTTCTGATGTCTTTGTTTCTGTCCAAGCTGAATGTCAGTTTGTCTCCAGACAACGTTCCAAAAAAAGCCACAGAGTTTGAATGTGGAGGATAACTGCAGCTCTATCCATTTGGTTAGTGAGCATGCTAACATAGTCTGTGGAAGCTAAGTGCAGATTATATATCAGTGTCTTAGAGCAGGGCTTCCATGTAGGCCTGTACGGTGGCTTGACGCTGGCCAGCAGCTAAACACCCATGCTGCTGCTGGCTCATTCTTTCCTCCCCAGATGGATAGTGAAGAGAATAGGAAGAGTAAAAGCGAGAAAACTCATGGGTGGAGGCGAAGATGATTTAATAAGTGAGAAAAAAACAAGCAGTGCAAAAGCAGTTGCTCACCACCTACCCCAAGCAGGCTGATGTCCAGCCAGTTTCTGAACAGACACCTTGAAAGGCAAAACACCCTGCCTTTCTCTTCCCCTGCTTTTTTAATTTTGTTATTTAGAGACCATATACTTGTTGTATATCAACAAACTGCATAATGTGAGATCATCTCAGTCCTGAAAGGAAACAGTACCTATTTGGAGATAATTGCGTCCCTTCTATCAGCTTTCCAGGAGCTTTGAATCTCCAACAGAAAAGCTTGGTATGGCTTGGGTAGTTTGTTTTCACGATCTAGTGACTCTGTTTGGAAACCCAGAATCCAAACTCTTATCAGACTTGCTTTCTGCTAGGGTTGCAGATCTTCACCTAAGTCTAAAATGTTTTTCCTTCACTAACCGAAGGGCAGACATCTCGGGAAAGTCCTGTTGCAGGGAGAAACAGCAAAAAAGACTACTTGTTCTAACTTAGCAAAGAGACTTGTAAAATGATGATTCTTTGAAGTTGTCTTCCCTATCATTAACTCTTCCATTTACTTTATCTAGTGGAACTAAAGAAACATAACTTTTCATACAAGCTCATTTTAGTCCTCTTAGCAGCTGCCCTAGCCATACCCTGCTAAGTCTTGAATTGAAAGGTGTTCCATCATTTTGTCATGAGCAGTTTTTAAGGTCCTGACTGGACTTTGCCATCCAAATAGGGACCCTGTTTACCAATAAAACTTCATTGAGATCCTCCTGAGTTAAACAGCTTGAATCTAATACTGCTTGTCAGCTGCTTGCTTCATATGTGAAAAGGGAGAACAAGATCCAGATCTGTACAACCAATTCTCAGCTTGTCACAGCAAAAAGCTCATCAAAACCTTTTGCCAAAGATGGATTCTGATTTTTTCTTGCAAAGTTCATACTGCTTCAGCCATTTGTTGCATAACGTGACATTCTCTTTTCTTCTCAGACCAACAGAATCAGATCTTTCCTTTCTTTTTGTGGAAAGTACAAAGATCCAAGGGAATCTTACTCTATGATGTGTCTTCCACTAATGTATCTGTCTCATTAGAAAAGAACTCTGGTTTACTTGAAGACAGTGTTCCATGATATCTCAAACAAGAAATACAGAAGTAATTTGAAGTTCCTACCCATGAGAAACACCAGCAGCCGATATTTCCTGGACGTCTATTAGTGCCAGTCATGTTTGCTAAATGTTATGTGCTACCTTTGGAATAACTGTCTGCCAATCATCGTTTTGCTCTGAGAATTTGCTGGTGTGAACTTCCTCAGTGTTAATGGCTGACCTTCTTTCGAAGGAAAAAGTCAGGATACTTAATCTTAATTGCTTTGTTTCAACAGTCTCTTTATGTGTTCAGAGCCCTTTCACTTCCTTTCTCAGCATGTTGTATACTCAGTGTTGGAGAGGAGAAGAGATACCAGCTACAGTTTTACTCCCTTTATTCATGTGTTTGAGGCATGCAGGAGGAGAGGGACTGGAGGTGTGCTTCGGTGGGTAAAAATTCTGTTCTAAAAATATTCCAACCACCAATACCAGGGAAAGACTGCCTGTAGAATGAACAGGAAAAGGCTTCTTGAAGAAAATCAGTCATTTGGGAAGAGCTGCAAGCTTTCAAAATTTTTCATCCTCCCTTGCTCCCATGCAGCAGCTTCTTACCACTGCTCTGGTGATGGCCCCACAGCACAACTGGTAGAAGAAAGACAGCTCCTTTAAAACAGATTCGTAGGCCAGCTGAAACCACCACCACTACTTCTGGCAGTTTCTAATAGACAGTTTCAAATTTCATCTCACTATTATGAGTTTGCATGATCTGTTAAGTACTCATGAGCATTGACGGGAAGCAGTGGCATCAGCTACCTCAGCTGTAAATTGTCACTTTGTCTTTAGGACTTTTGTCAGGAAATTGAGTTTATCTTTCAATTTTTTTATTGTTATTATTTTATTATTTTTTTTTAATTTTATAATCATTATTGTTTTGTTCGATATCTGAGAAATATTAAAATAAGGACATAAGCTTTTTTTTTTAACCGGTATCAAACTAGACCAATGCTCTCAGGCTTATTTGAGCAAAAGCAGTATTTTTGTACAAAGTTAGCTGTTTGTTTTTAAAATCACATAACATTTTCAGAGTCTGGACTTGAAAATAACAGAATTGCTAACATGAGAAAATAGGGACAGAGAAACTGAAGTTGTCAGTGCAGCCCTTCACTTTGTTTCTGCTTAAAAGTGAGTAAATACGTGCATTATGTAGTGTTGTGATATATGCTTGAGTTCTATTTTATGGATTTCTAGCCTTAAGGCTTTATGACAATAGATGCATGCCAGAAGTGAAAAAAAACAGACATTAGTAGAGTAAAAAGAGCTTGCATTGCTATGGTGTTAATATATATAGTTTATTTTTAGAACTTCTAGGCAATCATGAGTAGTCTGTGACTTTATCAAGTTATCATTTATTGACTCCTATAGCAACAGATTCTTAAATAGTTTATTAAAAACAACTGGCGAGAACAAAACTGCTATAATATACAGAATTAAGTGAAACTTCTCATGTTAAAAACAAATTTTTGTATTCCACTTTCCTGTGGCAACATAGTGTCTTCTGGAACTGGAAATTAAATTTTGACAGTCTAAGTGGTATGACATATAGGATCTTTTGTTTTTTCTTTCCCATAATAAAGTAATTATTAATTAATTTTTCCATACTGCCTTTCAGCTACAGCCCTTCCACGTTTGCAGGTAAGCGGAGGTCAACACATGAGGAAGGAAGAAATTGCAAAGATGGCAAATGTAACTGTTTATTTGATCGCTTTTCAGAACAGTCTCAATGCTGGAGAGATATAGCTGCAATAAATAAAATTTATTCTGACATCTGGCCTACCTTTTGCCAGTAATTATCAGGCATTCTTTAGATTTCCTTTTTCATCACATGGCGCAATGACCAAGTTGTGTTGGCAAGTGAAGGTATATTAATAAGACAGAAGACAAAAGAAAAGACATGGGGGCCAGAAATAAAGCAGGGAAGGAAATTGACACGTTACGGAAGGGCATGACAGCAGGAACCCAAGACCCACATCCTGGATGTATGTTGGTAGTCAGCCAATTCCAGTAGGATGTGTTTATGTCATTTGGTCACTTCGGGCACCATTTCAGTGTGCCCAAATGCATTCCAGATGTGCTCTGTGAAGGCACGGTAGAAAAACTTGTTCTTTCCCAGCCAATCCTGCTGATCCCATTTCTCGATCATAGAATCGTAGGATATCCCAAGTCAGAAGGGACCCATAAGGATCATCGAGTCCAACTCCCAGCTTCACACAGGACCACACAAAAATGAGGCCCTTTGTCTGAAAGCAGTGTCCAGATGCTCCATGAACTCCAGCAGCATGGAGCCATGCCCACAGCCCTGGACAGCCCATTCTATGTCCACAGCCCTCTGGTGCAGATCCTTTCCCTAACCCTCAGCTACCCCTCCCCTGGCAGCTCCATGCCTTTTAAACCTATATCCATCTTCTTTTAACCAAAACAGTGCACTTTTTGTGTTTCAGTCTCTAGCATCAACTTATTTCTGCGTTCATAAATAATTTATGTACAACTTAGAGTCTCTTTATAATACATACTGGAAAGAAAAGTTCTCCCTTAGAAAAAGGATTCAAGAGGTAATAGACCTTGAAAAGAACAAGTGATTGAATGTGTGGGGCACAGTCAGTATTTGGGAGAATTGAAGACTTCATTAAATTTTCATCTGTAATATTTGACAAAAGTATCTGTGAATTCTCCAGTAAGACAAATGTAATCTATATAGTACTCTATTATCTATAAGTACTATAAAATGCACTTTTACCTCCAAATTACTATAAACTAAGCACTTGCAGCAGTCAAACTGTGCATAGAAGCTGTCCATTTTATCTAAAAATTTGATTGCTTGACTTCTGTGATTAGGATAACAAACCCATTGATGTACTTGTAGCTCAGCTAGAGCTCTTGTAATTTTCAGGTGTGCTAGTTGTAACTCTTGAGTTATAAGCTATTTTTTGTTTAATCCTTTCTCAGGCATCCAGTTAAACTGAGTCAAGTCTTTGCTTGAGTTGATGACATCCAGCAGTATGGAATTTGGATGTTCACAATGGTGTGCATTTCCTGGAAAAAAGTAATGAGATCAGTCAAAATGATGTAGCTAGGAAGTTGTAATTTTGAGTCTTCCTGCTGTCCTGTGGTAATTCTTTTTCGGTCTAACATCAGTCCTTGATTTCCTGACATCCTGAGAAGCAGAATCTTCCTGAAGCTACTGTACAGGGAATGTTAAGAATTTTTACCACGGACCCAGGATTTTTAAGCCTACTTCACTACATTGTACTACAGACTTGATTTTTCAGGTAACTTCCCATTGGCAGATTTTGCGAGTACCATCATTTGTGTTTCTCCCACATCGCGTGAGCTTTCTTCATGGTGTGATCTGGCAGCACTTGAAATTGATACGCTCACTTGTCGCCTCAGTATTTTCAGAACAGTCCTTTTGTATCCTTTGCATGCAAAGAAATAGATGAAAGGATCTAGACAGCAATTAAAATTCATCAGAAACACGGTATAATGGAGTGATTTCTGGAAAATTTGGTTTTCGTTGCATAAGGGTTGATACTGAAGCTTCTTAATCATGTGTTGTATGATTGCAACATGATAAGGGGTAAAGCAAATGATGAACACTATAATTACAAATAGGATTGTATTGATAGCTTTTTTGTTTATCCCTGATTTTTCAGTCAGTGGATTTTCCTTGGCTGTTTGAAAAAGTTTGCAGCTGATTTGAGAATAACAAAATAGTATAATTCCAAGGGGAATAAGGTATCCTACTAAGCAGGCAGCAAGAAGTATAAATGGTAAATGGGCTATTTTTTCAAAGTTTGGATATTCCATACATGTAGTCCTTTCATTTTCTTCATGTGTCATGGGCTGTATAAGCAATGGGAAAGTTTGGCTGAATACAAGAAACCAGATAAATACACAAATGCCCTTGGCGTATTTAATCCTTCTGATCTTGTATCGGAATGGATGGACGACAGCGAAAAATCTGTCAATACTCAGACACGTCATGAAGTTCACACCTGCATAAGTGTTAATGTAAAACAAGAGAGCAGTTATTCGACATAATGCTTCTCCAAATGGCCAATGGAATCCCAGGGCGTAGTAGGCTATCCTTGTAGGCAGGGCAATACAGAACAGTAGATCTGAGAGGACGAGATTTGTTGAATAGAGGGTAGTAGAGTTTATCTTCTTTCTGTTTTTAAAAATGACAGTGAGGGCAATTGTGTTTCCGAGTACTCCAAGAATTAAGATGAGGCTGTAGAACACAGATAGGATTATCCTTGCTGTATCCTTATGTTCATACAAGTCGCAGGTAGAACTGTTTGTCTGAAAAGTTGGGAAAGTGTCCATTTCTGCAACTGGCGTTTCTGCAGGAAGCTCAGTGGACCTTACATGAAAAAAACAAAAGGGGACATTTTGTAATAAATGTAGATAAACTACTTCTGCATAACAGTGGCCAACCTATATCAGAAAAAAGCAAGATTCTAAAAAGCTGAAATGAAACTTCAGTATGGTGAAATACTTTTTCAAGCCTGCTTCCAAAAACAAAAAAAAAAGATGACTTTCCCCAGCTTTAATATTTTGATCTCAATTCTTTCACTACCAAAAAAAATATATATATATCAGACAATGGGCAAAATGATATACCAGAGACATCAGAATCAGAGAATGGCCTGAGTTGAAAAGGACCTCAAAGATCATCTAGTTTCAACCCCCCTGCTATGTGCAGGCATGCCATCCACTAGACCAGGCTGCCCAGAGCCACATTCAGCTGGGGCATCCACAGCTTCCTTGGACAGTCTGTTCCAGTGTGTCACAACCCTCTGAGTGAAAAACTTCCTCCTAATATCTAACCTAAACCTTCCCTGTAACTCCCCATGTTCTTGGAATTGAAGCTAACAGATGATCAGGAGGTAGACAACTAGTGAAACCAGTCTGAGAGGAAAAAGGAGTCTGAAGAAATCATGTGATAAATGACTATATGAAATCCCCAAGGGTCAGATATAAAAATAAAATCTTATAATGTATTACAGTTTATTTTTTAGGCAGTATTTTGCTTCTAAGGATGCACTTTGACCTGGTTTAAATTGTTTGGGAAAACTAATTTTCAGTGTTGTTGCTTATCTTACTGGCATTAATCATAGAATCCTTAGAGTTGGAAGGGACCTTTAGAGGCCATCTAGTCCAACTCCCCTGCAGTGAACAGGGACACCAGAGCCACGCTCACTTTGAAAGTCTCTGGGGACAGGGCATCAACTTCATCTCTAGGCAACCTGTTCCAGTGCCTCACCACTCTCACGGTAGAAGGCTTTTTCCTTATATCTAACCTGCATCTCCCCTCTTTGAGCTTGAAGCCATTTTCCCTTGTTCTGTCACCACAGAGCTTGCTAAAGGGTCTGCCCCTTCTTTCCTGTAGCTTCCCTTTAGATACTGAAAGGCTGTTATCAAGTCACCTCACAACCTTCTCCAGAGTGAATGGTCCCAATTCCCTTAGCCTGAAAATTATATAATTATACTCATACAGTCATTAAAGACTTGGAAAAGACCTCTAAGATCACGAAGTCCAACTGTCAGTCCATCCTGTCATACCACTAACCCATGTCCCTCAGTGCCACATCTCCACATTTCTTGGACACCTCTTGGGTATGGTGACTCCAGCACATCCCTGGACAGTCAGTTCCAATGCTTGAATAATAATAATTCAGCCTATTTAATACTAGCACTAAGAACTTTGGAAATCTAATTGAGATATTGTTTATATACATAAATTCCTAAGACTACTACTTTAGTCTCTTTTAAGTGGTGCTGCAAAAGAGATATAACCTATCTGAAGTATTTCACATACATTATAATTTAGCAGATTTAAAAAATTGCTTAACCTCCATAGTCAGAAATGACACGGAAGATCTGCAAAGTGGCAGTGACTTGGGGAACTTAAAATAGAAAAAAATGATTTAGCAGAATTTTAGAAGTGGAAAGGGCCCCATCCCATTGATATTCCTTTCAGTACAGAATGCTTTTAAGTTGATGTTACACCTAATAGTTGAACAGCGCAAGTCAGAAAGGATGGGGGGCATCTGATGTTACTCTTAAGCAGCTGTTCGGCATAATATTACCTAAAGTCTGAAGAAATTAGCTCACAAATCGAAGTGAGAAATCTATTGCTGGTTAGTACCATCCTTAAGGTATTTGTCATTTTCGTGGTATTCCTTCTTAGTTGGTCTTCACTCAAACTACGTATTTGATCACAGTGAGTTTTTAAAGAAAATGCATGCTTCCCACTCTTGTCTGTGAAGATTGGTTGTGTCTTTCAGTTCTTGTTGGTGAGACTGCTTGTGAAAAGAAGTGAGATGATTTTATTTCTTGCACCCTCTAAAAAACTTCAGGAAAACTTCCAACAGCCAACCAGGCACATTGCAATCTCAGACTTTTTCTTTGCGTTCATACCTGGTTGTAAGAAGGTGACTGCCTGAGAATACTCTTGTAAAAGTCTCTCAACACTGTTGAAAGCACCATAACTTCAGAATTATACGGTGCTCTATTTATGTACTTAAAAAGAAGAAAAACAAACCCTGAAGAAATTATTCTTATATGTAGTCATGGCATGCTCTCAGCAATCACTCTTTTCAAACTCTTCTTGTGTTGTTATGACTGTAATGGAGAGAGGCGGCTACGTTTCTAGAGATAGTAAATATTAATGCTAGTTTTGATATCAGACATCTTTTCCATCTGGATGACTCATAAAAACTGTCAGCCTGTTTATCTGCAGTTATGTGGGTTAAAATAGGAGTCATGATTGCTTCTACTTTAATGCAGAATATTATCTGGAGATAAGAGCTGTTATAAACTTAAATTTTAAATCCATCTGATATCTTTAAAGTATCTGGATTCTTTCTGAAGGATTTGCCTTTCAACAGTCAGTATTTACCAACAGCTACAACGTTGCTTGAAGAAGACTTCCAGTAAAATACCTCTCAGTTTTTTGGGTTTTAAGCTACACCTTTAATGAAGTATTTATTACCTTTTTATTAACTTGTGGAAGCATTAAAAGGTTAGTATCATCTTTCATGTTTTGATGAGATTATACTGTTTATTTCAGGTTGTTCACAACTAATTTACCTGCAGCACTTTTTGAATTATACAGTTTGATCAGACTTTGGCTTAGCTTGGCTGGGGCATGCAAGGTGCTCTTTAAAGAGTAAACCTGCATAGCTGGTGATAGATCTCAAATTCCTGATCTTTATATTGCGGTGGACTCAATGCAATAAGATACATGCGTAAGTTACATTACATGTGGTAGGAAGAAATGTAGCATGTAGATACTCTATCAAATCTATTCATGCACAGGCTGTAGGATAGACAGGTGAGAGATTTCTGACGGCTAAATGTATGGTGTTCTGATTCTTAAACATCTCAAGAAAATAAGTAGCGCGTCAAGAAATGTGAGCACTGCTTTCAGGGCTGGAAGTCAAATGTGAACTGGGAGTATTATGACTTGAATAGAGAAACTGAATTGCTAAGTATCAGCTCTGTGACTGCTGTGCAGATTTAAGAATATCTCAAATACCTTAGAGTGTCTCTTATAGGAGAATGTAGCATGGCTTAGTTTACTAAAGTATAACAGGCTGCTTTTCGTGGAAAATCATTTGGGTTTGTGTAGGCATGGATAAGACTCTGGATAAGAGTCAGTGAGGTATTTCAGTTTGTTCTGTTTCTCTTATTTGAATACTTCTGATTACTTGTTCAGATTCCCAGCATAACATTTATTTTCTACCGCTGTCTCTCTTGATGTTTAGGTAAAATCATTTCTCCACAGCTTCTCTTTGCTTGTGATTAAGGTGTATGATAAACTGTTTTATTGCAGTGTCTAACGACAGTACATTCACAGCATAATTTTATTTCCTCTTCTCTCTAAAGTTATGGTAGTTTTTGCTCATAAATAATGTGTATTTGTCACATCCATTCTTCTGTCTGTCAGTGTTTGTATGGTTTAGGCAAAATTCTGCAATTTTAGTCACTTCTTCTGACATCAATAGTAGAATTTTATAAAACCCTATCTACTTTTGCATGATAAAGTAGGATCATCTACTTTAACGTTAGAACTCACTGTTGCTCAAAGTAGGATGTTTACCCTTGCATAGAAGCATGGCTCTGTTGAACAGGAGTTGCAGCCAGGAGAGTGCTTGTGTCCATCCCTGGTGCATGGACACACACAGGGAGCAGCCATCTCAGACAGTTCTTCCTTCTCTTTACCCTCTAACACAAGGCCCCCAGAGCTATGTTCCTGATTCCTAATGAAGTTCTCTAGTTCCACAGTGGGACAAATTGGCCACAAGCAGATGAGAAGAGCGCTGGAGAACCACAGCTGATGTACCTTCCAGATGTACACATTGGATGCCAGCAGGCTCTTCTGCTGGCTGTGGGAGTCAGCCCTGGGCAGGGCTTCTACTATCCCTAAAGTATTTTGCATGTAATGTAGGGTACACATTTTACAGTACTCTAGATGAATAATAGTGTTCTGTTTGTATATAGGTACGTATGGACATTTTGAGCAGTCACCATGATGTCTACACTTCCTGAATACATTTAATATGTCTTAAAAACCCTTGAGATTCTATATCCATCTTGAAGCTCAAGCAGATGATAAAGTTGCTGCCATCTGAAAATGTAATATACATCAGCGGAGCTTCTTTGTACATCTGAGCTCTCACTGTTGTTAGATGAACTCTGCTGACGTCAGCAAGTTTTTCAGTTTTTCTTGTCAATTTTGAATGGACTGCACTTAAAACGGTTTCTTGTGTCTGAACTATTAAGTAAAACAAAGTTATTTTCTGTCTCATGTTTTCTATCAAGTCAATGTTTCCTTGCAGCAATCCTTTGTGATCTATCTGTTACACTTACAGAACATATGCCATCTTCCACAGAATGTATCTGAAAAAAACAACAGTGGCCTCAGTTTGGGTGGCACTTGTGTTCTTAGATTCTTAGAGCAAAACTGGAGAGTGTTGCCTCCTTATTGCTGCAAACCTCACAGCAACTGATCAGTATGTGGACTTGATTCATAGCGGAGTTACTGAGCTATATACCCTAGTAGTACTTTATGAGTACATAAGTTAATTGACTTTACCAATTTAGTAATTTTTAAGATATTGCCACTTTTTTTTTTTTTTTTTCATAGGGGTACGTGATTTTAATGCATTAAATATTTAAAATTCTTGTCTCTTTATCAGTACCTTTATCAGTAGAGAAAGTTGTTTAGGTTTGTCTGCTGATATGCAGGATTCAGTGACACGGATAAAGCTCTAGTGCAGAAAGACCACTTACTCATTGATATTTCAAGAGGTCAATGTTAATGTTTTAGTTATTTGTGTATAGATCCCACTAGCTATTCACTTAGAGCATATTTTCCACAAGGGTGTTTGGTCTTCATTTGGAGGACTTGAGAGAAGGAGAATTAGCCCTTTATACTGTAGTAGTGTTTAATCAACCTCCCTCCTAAATCGTGGTCGTCTCATTTAAATTTCTCCAAAAGCAGTTTGCAGTTGCTGTTTTTGTTGAGCCTTTCCTCTTGGAATAAAGACTGCTTTAATAGCCCCTATCCACCCCCAGGAGTGTTTACGTAGTCTCTCTTTTGACAATTCAAGGTGAGCTTCTCAAGAGTCTCAGTGAGGCAGAATAGTTTTGGGTCTTCTGCTCCCACTCCAGTTCAGTTTCAGTAAGGGAGAATGGGGTTCCAGATGGCTCTCACCTTCCACAAAACGTGCTCACCTCTGTGACCCCCACCTTTTCCGCTCAGTGGACTATGTGTTTGAGGCAGAATTGGGCAGCATTTACTAAAGAGCTTATGACATGATCTACCTGCAATCCTGAGTGCTTCCCGGATTCACTGGGTCCTGGGATAACTGCAGTCTATGGCACGGCCCTTGTTCTCTGCTTCTACCTGGGAGGAACGTGCACCTGGGAGAGTATAAAGTTAATATTATGCCCAGGCTTCCGACCAGTGCCATTTGTTCCTCGTGTTCTGTCACTTGCTCTCTTCCAGTTTTAGTGTTGCATTTGCTTTCTGATAATGAGTGGACAATTGTTGAAATACACACACTCAGTAGTGAGTTTTTCTTTAGCCAGTGACTTGATGAGATTTGTTAGATAGCCTGCTTTTAACCTGTTCTATGTGCTTGATGGATATTTTATTGCAATAATAACCACACAGGTGTCACCCCTAGCCTGGCTTCCTTCAGGTGTTTACCTGTTATGGCTCTTAAACATGGAATACTGTGTTGTATTTATTGAACTATGGAAGTGGTAAACCTGAGCTATAAGCCTACAATTATAGTATTACAAACTTAGATCACACAATTTAAGTTATGTGCAAGCAGTGATAAAAAGCTCTCTCTGTGAACTAAATGAGTTTTCTCCTTGCTTTCATCTCCTGCTTTTGGTAGAGGAGCACCATCTGTGGGATTTTTTGGTTTGTTTGTTTGCTTTTTTGTTTTATTTTTTATTTTATTTTATTTATTTATTTATTTTGCACTATGGGAAATACTATAAAAGGCTTTAACTGTGTGTTGTAATTTAATGTGTGATTTGTCTATCTGTCTCTTTAATAATCTTTACTCTTTGAGGTAAATCCCTGGTCCATCTGTCCACTATCTAGTGTAGGAGCGATATAATTACCTTCTTGGTAAGGCATGGCAGATCATGGATGTAGCCTTGCTCTGCACATAGCATGATTTTTTCATCACTTTGAGATGGATGAACATTATTTCTTTAACAAACTGTATTGTTAACAAACTGAATAAAATTTTGGGGTATGTATAAATGATTTAGGAGAAATGGTTTGGAAATAAATTTCTCCTATTTCCTTGCATTGCCTAATTTGAGGACTTTACTGAGCTCTACAGCCCTCTGTTGATCAAAGCTGTGTAAGCTTTAGAGAGCTTAAAAACAGTGAAAGATGGGAAATATGCAATGCTGTGGGTAATGTGTTTATTTTTTTTTCCTTAATTTCTAAAATTAATTGTTTTCTTTTGACCAGTAATATTTTCTGGCTGAACTCCTAATTTACCATTGTTGTGATCCTCACTGTATTATGTGTTTTATGTACTTGAGAAATGAGGGTTTTTTCCAACTATCTTACATATATTAAAAAGTATGCATGCCAGGTTGCATAGCAGAATGCTTTGTTAATATGCGAAGGTACATTTATCTGAGAAAGCTGCATTTATCTAGGCTTGGGACTACACGTGGCTTCATAAAAGCTGAGGCAAGAGACAGGCGTTTCCTAAAGCTTCCTGTTTCTTTCTAGTGCTGTAATTCTCGTATTCTTGTAGTACATTATTTTCAAAGCTGTTGAGTTTCATGTCCAAACTTACGAGAAGCCTGATGACTGAATCCTCACTACTCATGGCTGATTTTAGTGAGATAGTTCTAGTCTAGTACTTTTTCCTAGTAGAAATCTAAATTTGTTGGAATACTAAAGCAAAATGTTTAAACCACTCTATGGAGAACCCAAAGTGTGCATTGCATGAGTTAAATTCTCTTGAAGATGAGTAGGAAGAATTAAAATATTCTTTAAGTCAATTCTGTAACAGAATTTTTGGATGCATGCTGTATAGGATCTTTCTGGTTCAGCTTTTATCTATTATTACCTGCTTTATCAAATTGCATTTTGTATTCTAAAATAATAAGAGTTACAGTAAAATAAGTGAAATGGAAATGAAGAAGTTGAGTTGAAATGCTACATAAATAGTTAAAGGCAAAGTAGAAGACATGTATGTGTCTAGCTCATATCTGTTGGATCTTTCTTTCCAAATGTGATAACTACGAAAGGTGTAAGAATTATCTGACCTAAATCATATTGACCAAAGATGCATGTTAATTTTTACAGCAGTGCTGGTGCTGAGATTAACCTCCATTCAGTTTACCTGCCCGAGTCTACTCAGTATGAAAAGGAGAGGGTCCGAAACATGCCAAATAAATAAAAGTCACTAACAATTGCACTTCTGCAAGTAGAAGAGGAAAAAATGGTCTAATAAGATACAAATAAAGACTTTGTATCTTAGAAACTAGAAAAATGCAAACCTTGAACATACATATATATATATACACAAATATGTTTCCTGAAGGAGTGATATGAAATCTGTGCAGATGCCAGATTTAATTAATTTCAGGGATTAAAACTTCATAACTGTAGCTTAAATTTATTATTCCTTACATGTATCCATACTCCTCATTCTTTGAACAAAAAGGGATAAGACTTGAGCTGTTAAAGATGAGTGGCCAGCTCAGTTTTCAGTACCTTTGTCTCTATTCTGGAGGAGCCATAGAAATCTCAGACCTCTTCTGTTTTGTGTTCAAGAGCATGCATGCATCTATTTTTTTCCTAGTAAATTGTTGCTTTTTTCACAGCCTATCTAGTTTTACCAGTATAACATGAAGAAGTATCATATTTAACATGAAGGTGTAAAAAAGTCCAATTACTTGTAATATTTATTTAGTTTTGTGTCATGAACATCAGTAATAAGGGGAAAGCTGACTATGATTCAGAAAAAGAATGCCTTCGGAAAGCTTTGAAAGAAATGGTAGAAAAGGAATAAGTTCCTAACATTTTGGATTCATAAAATACTCTGCTACAGTATTCAGACATGGGAAGAGCAACTGAGGAGCTCTTGAGCTGAGAATAGAGACAAGGAGCACATATGAATGAGCAAGCTGTGGATTCATTACCATGGTACAGATTTGTTTTAAGGCTCCCTGCTAATTCTAAAGTATTCTGCAGCGTTCAGTGAATGACTTGTGAACTTCAATGTCCCACTTACTACTTCAACAGCAATTCTTTTCCATTAGTATAATTTAAATTACTTAAACTAAACAAAACTCTGAGATAATATAGTATCAAATGTTTCTTTCTGGTTGTCAAAATAATTAGAAATCTTCCTATAAGAAATTGGTATTGTAAGAAAGCATTAGAAATAACTTGATGTTATGGATCATTTGTCTTTAAATGAAAATTAACAAGAAACATATTAAGATAGCAATATAAAATCAGACAGAGTTTCCTCCACAAGACTTATCTCTCCTGCCACATGAAAATGTTCAGTATAATGCAAAAAGAAAGCATCTTTCTAGAGTTGTTTGCTGGCATGAAAAAAAGAAGAAAAAAAAAGTATGTATCTTTTCTGTACTTACATATCTGCAGCTTCTTAGATCCTGTGAGCAGTTAGTTAAGGGCATTAGCAGGATAGCCTGACTGTGAAAGTTTACCCTTGCACATTGTTTTCAAGAGTGATTACGTGAGTCCCTTTTGTGGGAGGGGTAGATTTTTTCATGTGCTTCAAAAAAAACTTGTTTGTGTGCTGGTCTTGATTTGCTGGCTACTGTCATATGGGATGTGAAAGTGTCTATTTTTAATTCTTTTACAATTAGTCTGCTCAAAAAGAGTAATTAGGAGCACCTCCTCTCCTCCCTCCGACCCACAAGTTGCGTATTACTGACTGTCACAGAAGGGACTTTACCCAGAAGTTTACTTGACCAACCAAAAAATCCTGAGTGAAAAACCTTGTTTGTATGACGTCTGCATTAAAAAAAAAGGCTTATGTTTATCCTGGAGTAGAGTTCTATGAGCAGTGCACACTTTCACGCTGGTCACTATGGATAAGATCTGACACAGCCCAGGAAAACCTCAGGCTTTAAACATATTATATCTCGATTACAAGAAGGCTTAAATTTAGTTTGGAGTTGGATCATCAGTACACTCTTTCAAATGAATATCTCCTGCTGAGATCTGACACAGCACAAAAAAGTCAAACTTTAGGCATATTGATAGGCCGTGTAAAAACAGACGTCTCAACAGCCCATGTACATTCCCAGCACTGTTTTAGTATCAAAATGATGAGGCTTTACAGAAATGCCCTTTAAAAATAGATGAGGGAGTTGAAGAACATGCGTGGTTCTAGAGATTAGTGAGGCTGTGTGCCTGAGTAACTTGATTGCATTTTGAGCAAGGCTACAGATAATCATGATAGTAATACACACGTAAGGCAAACACATTAAAATAAATAAATGGCTTTTAAAACACAGATCTGATTCTGATAAAAATACATTGATGCATATAGATGGGAATGGGGAGAGAAATGGAAGGCCAAAGTTTGAGGTAATGTGTTGGTACCTGGAAGAACGTTGTTTCTGGATGTGGAGCCTTCTGTCAGTGAAATGGTGTGTTTGCTAAGAAGGTTGAGATAGATCAGAGATAGATGGAAAGCCCTGCCCTTTGCTCTTAGACGCAGTGGCTGGGAGTTACCTGGGATTTTCCCCACAAACTCATACTGATCATTCGTGACTGCAAAAGACAGTTTGTGTTTCAGGTGGCCTCGTTCAGCATCCTGATTCTCAAAAATGAGCAAGCAGGCATGATGATGCTGGTGTTAGTGGCTCCAGCCAATGCAGAGATGGGACACTGCTTTGGGAAGGCTCGGCTGTGCTCAAACAAACTGATGCTGATGCTGCCGTGCTAGAGGTGGGCAGAGATCAGATCTCAAGTAACGTATCTATCTCATCAGGAAGTCTTAAGTAACTGCAGATTTAATTAGAAAGTTAAACTTTTTTAAACATACCTTGTCTTATGGGAAGTGTTCTTGCTATAGAAAATTAAATAGAGCCTCTCTAGATGCTTCTGTGCATACTTGGAACATTTAGTTGGCTCTAGAACGTGGTTTTCATTACTGAACCTCCCCACTGCAGATGCGACTTGGTTTCTCCTGAGATGCCAGGGAGCTGAACTGCTTCAAGTGCTACCAGCTCCTCAGTTCTTGAGAGGCTCTCCTCTTCCAAAACCAGGTTCAGGAAGCCTTTCAGAGAACTTACTGGGTTTACTGCAGACCTTTTCCTTGTTTTTCAATTATTTTAAATACTATCTTCATCGCAGAGTAGAATCTCTTTAAATGAAGTAATGAGAATTAGCTACTGATTCAAGAACAACCGTATAGGGAACTTGCTCCATACGTCATAAAGTAATACCACAACGTGGTTCTCTGTCCAGCAGCAAAAATTTGTGGTAGAAGTGAGAAATTTCTCGAGACTTGTAGTAGTCTTTGCTCAAGGACTGACATTAATAAACCAACTTCACATTAGGGGAAATGTTTATCTCATAATAGCTTTAGCATTATAAAAATAATACTAATATATGCTTCCTGCTTTGATCAGATAAATTTAAATGCTGCCTTTTTTTGGTTAAGATGCATTACTAGATTGTGCCCACGGATCCATGCATGTACATTAGCCACCAATCCAGCCTTATGGGATGTTAATTTCTTGAGCAGAATGGCACAGATTGAATCATAGAATCATAGAATGGCCTGGATTCAAAAGGACCACAATGATCATCTAGTTTCAACCCTGCAGGGTCGCCAACCACCAGACCAGGCTGCCCAGAGCCACATCCAGCCTGGCCTTGAATGCCTCCAGGGATGGGGCATCCACAGCCTCCTTGGGCAACCTGTTCCAGTGTGTCACCACCCTCTGTGTGAAGAACTTCCTCCTTATATCTAACCTTAACCTCCCTTACCTCAGTTTAAACCCATTCCCCCTTGTCCTACCACTATCCACCCTCGTAAACAGCATCCTTCCACTCCATCCAGCTGACCCAGAATGTGAAAATCTAAACCAAAAAGTGGCATGTGTCAAAAAGTGTGATTTGTTTGTTTTTGCCATTGCAATGCACAAGTTTACTGTTTTGCTTTTGGCATGCAAGGAGAGTAACATACGAATTAATACACTAAGACATTACTTTCAGAGATGGTTACATTAAAGCAGTAGTTAATATTTTGACTGCTGTGTCATGATGCCTACGATAACTTATTTTTCGGTCTGCTTGCTTAGTCCATGCTCTATTTGAGCAGTTTACAAAAGATACTGGATTTAGCTTTACTATTCTGTATCTAGACAGCCACTCTGCAAGGTAAGAAGTGACTTCTGAAATTACACAAAGTGTTCATGGATCAACTAGAAAATGAACCCAGCCAGCCTGAGTCCCAGTTCAGTTTCTTTACGGGAAAACTGCCTTTTCTTCCAAAATTAACACCTTTTTTTTTCTAGGCAGGTTCAGGTGTCTCAAACTAATGTGCAGCTGAATCCTGTCCTTTTGCAGACAAACATTATTTCTCAAGTGACTTGAGTTTAAGGAACAGCAAGTGATGACTCTTCGGTGAGTCATGGTTGCTGTCTGCTCTCCAGAGGCCAAATAAAATGTGTCAGGCTAAGCTAGATAAAGAAGATGTAGTTAAACACCCAAGCCAAATGAACTTGTGACATAAGAAATTTCAGTACAGCCATTTGACCATACTTCTTCAACAAAATAGCCATCCGAACCCCTTTGGTGTTTTCTTGTTCCTTCATATGTCTTCTGTCTAACTCCACTTTCTGTGCCAGACTTGGTGAAGCATGGGATTCACTGGAAAAGCCTGCCTGTTAGGGTACAGGCTCCTCTTTCTGCTGAACTCAAACTTGGGTTATTGCAATCAGTCACAAAAGCAGAGCTGCCTTGTAAGCTGTCTCTACCAATCACTTGCTGCAGATGTCTGATGCAGAGCAGCAACTGTCAGTGGGTAGGCAGAGGTAGCTGACTATGTAACACCTAGTTGGCATTACCAGGGATCATAGTTGTTGCTGTGATACTGTCCTCAGTTGGGATGCGTGGTTTGGCCAACTGTTCTTGTACCTCTTGGTTTCATTGGTATTCCCCAAGACTGGTTGATTTTGGTCTTCATGTGAATGGCAGCGTGCTAATCATATTAAAGAAAGAACAGGGAGAGTGATTATTTTTTTTTTAATCATTACAGTACCATAAGCTGAATAAGTGTTTGGTGTTCTGCAAAAATTGCTTGCATGAGGTCTGCATATTAAGAATGCTTAACAGAAGGATTTTTATGTTAACATATTGTAGCAGACTGCTAGTATAGAGACAGTCACTTACCCTAGGTCAGCCAGCAGATACTAACAGGGGGGTAGAGAAGGGTTTTGTGAAGGAGTAGCAGATACTATCTTGAGCTTTGCACAACAAAAGTTGGGGGGAGATATCACTAACTGACATTTGTAGAAAGTGATAAAGGGCAATGGTAACATGTTATTAATGATAAATAAAACTGAAATTAGAAGAAAGTCTCTTGCCAGCAGAAGAGGAAAGTTCTTTATTAATCATCTTGCTGATGGTAAGGAAGAGAAAAGAAAGCATTACTGGTTTAAAATGGAACTAAGCAGCTTATGGAATAAATTGTTTCAAAGTCTTTAAAAACTAAAGTTTTTCATAGGAGCCATAGATATCTGCATTCTGTTTGTTCATTGGTCACGTATTTTAGTGAACCCAAAGTTGTAGTTATTCTGCTGGGGTCTTCACTTAATGTTTTCATTTGGTTGTCTTGTTTGGGGTATTTTTTTTTCCTCCATTTTCCTGCATTCCTACAAAATATTGGCAATAGATACAGCATTGGGTAACGTAACCTGCTGGTTTTGCTCATGTATGGCAGAAAGGTTGGGTGCAATAGATGGTGCTTGTCATCCTGGGCTCCATCAGTGAGAGGATCATGGCTGTCAAGGGCTGTCATATGTCAGGGAGCTACCCAATTTTAAGAAATGTTACCAAGAAAGTTTAGCATTTTCAGAATAAAGGCTGCTACTTTATGCATAGTTTGGCAGTGCCTGGGCAGCCTGTAAGAAGTGTAGAGCACTCAATAAACGTGGTAACTTGAGTTAGTGATAAAGCACACTGTTTGTACTCTCTCCTTATTATGTACAGCCGCTTTTAGAGCTGATGTTTTCAGTCCCCCCAAAAAACTAAGCGGTTGTGGGTTTGTCGGGCTAATGTTTTTATAAAGAACTTAAATAATGTGAACTGAAGAAAAATACGGTACCGCAGTTAGTAAATGTAGTGAGTCATTCTGAATAAAATAACAGGTTGTTTCTGCAAATTTGAATCCCACAGAACTTCCATTGACAACAGCAGATATTTTTGCAGAAGTAACATGTAGCCAGATACCCGTCTCTTCTTACAGTTTAGAACCATTGTTTCCTATATTTTGTGCATATACTTACTAATATTAAATGGTTTAATCTGCTTTTAATATTCACTCTTTTAAACTCTGAGTAACCCATTTCTCTCAGTGATGAATCCTTATCCTTGAGTCTTTGTTCTCTATCAGAAGTCTGTACAGTAATGGATACAGGTGTTTTCTTTCCAACATTATTGTTTCTTCATTTTTTTTCCTCCATGAAAAAGTTCCCTTCTGTTTTTCTGTGTTGTTTTTTTTCTGTCCCTGCACATGTTGAAATCTAACATGCTTCAAAATGAGGATATAATCATTCCAGAGCCTACAGTAGGCCTTTGAGGTGGACATCATGTTCATGTCAAGTGTTAAGACTTTAGAATTTAATCTTTTGGGACTGAGAGTATTTTGTTCTGTTTGAAAATGTTATTTTCTAACCCATGTGACTGAAACTAATTTCCTAAACATGAGGTGAGCAGAAAGCTAGAGTCTGCGTATGTTTGTGTCTGTGTCTCTTCTCTGCATGTGAATATCTCAAGTTTCTAGTAGAAGCCAATAGGCAGGGTGTTAATTAACCATGTTGTTTCTGATATTGTTGTAAGCATTAGGAGCAAAAGACTGGGACCAGGATATTTGAAAGTAAAGAGGAAAGGAAGGGAAAGGAGATTAAAAGAGATTAGGAGAAAAGCAAAGAGAAGAAGAGAAGGAAATGAAGGAATAGAGAGGAAGAACTAAAATAGCCCTTCAAAAGAATAGATACCAAATCTGACCATATATTGCTGAACAATTAATTAACTCAATGAAAGTAGTTAAGTACCAGCCCTTAGATTTGCAGAAAGTGTTGTGGGTCAGCTTTGGCTGGTCACCAGGTACCCACTACGCTGCTCTCTCTCCCTGCTTCCTCCAGCAGGATGGCGGGGATCATAAGATGGAAAACCTTGCAGGACAGGGAAGTCACTCATCAGTTACCATCCAGTTACAGGCAAAACAAAGTTTTGAGGAAGATTAATTTAATTTATTAACAATTAGAAATAGGATAGCATATAATGAAAGCAAAATTAAAAGCACCTGGCCCAAACCCTGTTCTTCCCAGGCTCAACTTCTTTCCTGGCTCTTCTACTACCTCCCCAAACAGCACAGGGGAACCAGGAGCAGAGCTTGCAGTCCTTACCTAACTCTGCTGCTCCTCCACGGTCACTTTCTGCCCCTGCTCCACATGAGGTCCCTCCCACAATGCTGTCCTTCTAGAACTGATCCTGTGTGAGCTTCCCACAGGCTGCAGCTCTCCAAGCTCTGCTTCAACACAGTTCCATACCGTAGGGCCCACTCTTCAGGTGGCAGCTCCCCTCACTCTCCTGCCCCACCGCAGGTTGCTCTCCCCGGGCTGCAGCTCCAGCCTGGGCTGCTTCTGCAGAGGTGGGCTGTGAGCTCCTTCAGGCCCCATCCACTGCTGCTCCATTGGCTCCTCCATGGCTGCATGGGGACGTCTGCTCCATGTGGTGCCCGTGGGCTGCCGGTGGACAGCCTGCTCCTCCATGGACCTCTCCTGGGCTGCAGGGAGCTGCTGCTCTGCGTCTGGAGCACCTCCTGCCCTCCTTCTGCACTGACCCGGATGGCTGCAGGGCTGTTCTCTGACATTTCTTACTCCTCTCTCCCAGCTGCTGTTGTGCAGCAGTTTTTCCCTTCCTTCAGTCTGCTCCCCCAGAGCATACCCAGCGCCGTTCATGGCTCAGCTCTGGGGCAATGCGGGGCTCTGCTCACAGAAGCCACCACTGCAGCCCCCCAGTACCAATGCTACTATGTAAACCTAATACAGAAATCTCTCCAGTATTTAAGAGCATCATGAGCAAGGCTTTGATTATTCACAGAATAATGGAGTTGTTTAGGCTAGTGCTAGATAAAACCTCTGGCAGTCATTTAGTTCAATCTCATGTCTGGAGCATGTCCAACTGGAACAGGTTATAAAGTCTATGTTCATTTGAATCTTGAATATCTCTGAGGATGTTGTCCAAACAGCCTGGTAAAGTACTGGACCATCATTACCCTCTGCTGGACTTGATCCAGTATATCAATGCCTTTCTTGTAGTGAGGAGCCCGAAAGTGAGCACAGTGCTTTAGGTCACTTAGAGGTGTTGAACTTGTCTTGATCCGATGACTGCACACTTGCTAATACAACCCAAGGCCATCACTGCAAGGCAGAAATCCTGACTAATAATTATTTTCCAGCTTCTTTTGTGACTGTTTGCTATCTAGAAAGTTTATACTGCTGCACAGGGTTATTTCAAATATAGTGGAATATTTCACAGTCGCTTTTGTTGAAATCCATAAGATTCTTGTCAGCCCATTTCTCTGTCAAGATGTACCTGAATGTAGCTTTGTGTTCTAATGCATTGACTGTTGTCCATAGTGCCAGTCACCTCATCATAGAAACTAATCAGTTTGACTGGACATGGGTTGACCTTGGTAAATCAACACGGCCTATCAGTTTGCCCTTGGAAATGTCCGGAAATGGCTGCGAAGAAAATTGCTCTGTAACTTTTCTAGGGACTGAGGTGAGGCGCTACTTCAATCATCTTCCTCCCCTCCTTGAAGATGGTGGTGGCATTTGCATTTTTCCAGTCGTTAGGACCTGACCACCATGACATTTCAGTGATAATGAGAACAACTGGCAGTATCATTGGCCATCTCCCTCTGCACTTGTGGGATACCTGAATGGACATTTGTAATACCCATTTATAGTAGATGAGAAATCTTTCTAAAAAATAAGTAATTTTATAACAATCTGTTATGTTTCTTCAAGCTCCTCAAGATTATTAGGTAGAGAGCTGTGTCAAATACTGGACTTCAAGTTACTCAGATCAGTACCCCGATCTGAGATGGTGCTTTCTATGTTTTCTGCTGAGATTAGTGGTGAATATTAACATTGAGGGAACCTTTCAACATTCTGTTATCTTTTTCTAGAATACAATTCTAGGCATGAGAAGTTCCTTTTTGTATTTTCCCATGCTATGATTGAGTGCACTCTTGCATGCAAAATCTCTTAATCTGAGTCACTATCACAAGAAGAATAAAACCTGAAAAGCATGCCATGATTTTGGTACTCCCCCAGGTAATTTGGTAAGAATAGAAAGAATCACATAATGTAGACAGAAATAATTTATCCTGGCTTTTCTAAGAGCAGAAGAGTTCTTTTTTCTTTGTTTTTCTTCTCTCTTTGCTTATGAATGCTGAATTACTTTGGCGACTTTTGTCTGCAATGGATGCAGTTGTAATGAAGAGTTATTTTTATGTGGCAGTTGAGTAGCTGTGTCTGTCAATCCCTACAACTTAAATAATGTGGATGTATTTTAAGAATGTGTTGTGTGTGTTTATACGGGTGCTCTCAGCTTACACAAGAGGGTTCTTCTGTAAAATTGAACATCTTTCAGTAGTTCCTGAGTTTGTGTCCTCCATACACCCACGTGCACCTGGCCTTATCTGAAACAGATGATACTAAAAATGTTTCTAATGTCTTTTATCTAAATGACATTTAAGTCCTCAGAGAGGAATGTTTTCAGCTAAACTTCAAATACAGCAATCAAAATGATAACAAAATATTCTTAAGCCGCTGCCCATTGAATGAGTTAACATGTTTGAGCTGTGTACTTAATCATTAGGTTTTCTTCATAGCTGTGGGTGTTGTATTTGGCAGTTATCCAGGAAATGAAAGTTTTAATATTCAGACCATCATTTCGCATAGCATTATGCCTATTGGTAGCTCCCTTGGAAGGGAAATGTATTTCTGAGTGAACACTTCAGGTTTTTTGTATTCTGATTTATGCCGTGTGCAGAAATCCCACTGAGAGTAATAAGATCCCTGTCCTGTAAAGGTCTTCGGAAACTGTAAGTCTTGAAGCTTTTGATAAGCTGGTAAATGATGTAAAATTCTGCTTTGATCCCGGTTCTGTCAGAAGAAGCAGTGAGGAGCCAGCTGGGGTGGATGTGTGCTTTGCAGAGCCCCTCAGCCCAGCTGTTGGCTGGAGCTCAATGCCCGCAGTGCTGCTCCCTCCTACACTGCAGCAAGATGCACCAGGGAATGATACCAGGATTGCTCAGGTGTGAGGGATGGGTCTTTGGACCCATGGATCTTTGTTTTTAGGATATAGTAGCCTGGCAGAGCAGTATTCTGGCAAACCTGTGGAAACAGTGCTTTGGGATGGAGAATGTCTAGTTATAGCAAAGCACTGAGCTCCATGGGAGGTTTCTCTTCATAGTCTTCAATGAAGGCTGATAATGTCTTGCTTTCAGATGTCCAGCCACACCGTTAGAATCTAAAAGCGTTTTCCTTCACTGACCTTTTTTCCCATCTCCATCACAGATGTTCTAGGGCCACAGGAGTCACTGGCAAAATGGAACTTAAATTGAACTGTTGATTATCTCATTTTAGATATCGCATTCTGTTTTCAATACTGTAACACCTTAAACCTGAGTGAATAATGGGAGCTCAACTTCATATGTGAAGTGATTTCCCTGACCTTTGGGGATATATATAATCCTTTTGTCCAGATCAAATACGTTTTGTTCTGATGTGGAAGACGACTGCTGTTCTTTTTGTGGGCTGTATTTTATGGAAACAATCAGCTATTAAAGCAAAAATGTTGCCTTCTTTCCTGTCCACTCTCCTGAGTACTTGGAAATAATATGCTTTTCATCACCTGTTTCTTCTTGGCAAGCTTATTTACCAAAGAGTAATAGTAGATTATTCAGTAGTGAATCTTTTGTCCTGAATGCCACAGATTACCAAGTCATTGGTTCCCAAGGAAGACCCTTTTTTGCAAGGCAGTGTTATATTTTTGTTTATCATGTATGTGGGGTTAATTACATTTTGTTACATCACAAATTACATATTCTTATTACTACTATCATTCTTAATAACCGTCTGTATCTTTCTGTTTGCAGCTTGGGTCCCGTGTTTGCTCTGTTTGTACCGTTCTATTGCTCCATTCCAAGAGTGCAGGTGACACAAGTACTAGGCTTTTTTTCTATTACAAACAAGACATTGGTCTATATACTGGGTTTACAGGTATGGTATGTACTTGCTTGTTCATCTTTTAGTGACTTAATAGCAGTTAATATTTCTGTATGTGTGATTTTGATGCTTCCAGGTGCATGATTTGTGTCTAGCTAGTGCTTTCCCATGAACTACAATATTGAACAATATATTCTGATATATATTTTGGGCTTAAGTGGTGGGGAGATTATCTGCTATTCCACTGTCTTCAGTCTTGATTGTCATGCATAGGAAAACATAACATTAAAGTTCTGTAAGTTTGAGAGGGATTTAGTGAAATGAGCCAGATGAAAACAGGACCTGGTACAAACACACATGTGCTTTTCACCTGTCTAATCTGCTAGTATTTCTGTTTTTGTTTATTTTTGCCTTGTTTGATATTGCTCAAGCAAAACTGTAGATAGAAGACAGTATTTTTCTATGGTTAAGACTGTTAATAAATAACCAAAGATTTGGTTGAATTACACTTTGATATAAATTTGCTATTTTTATACCAAGCATTGCCATGTAACAGATAATTTAATGTAACATATTGCACAGCACTTTCAAGTAGTGTTGTATTAAATGTGAACGGAAAAATATGGGTACCTGGTTCAGGTCCCTCAAGAGCCTAGAAATGACTCTAATGTCACAATCTGAATTATGCATCAGGAGATGTGTGAAATTATGAGAAATTGTACTCATTTTTATATATTCCAGGGACTCAAAAATAGTACTAAAACTAGTAGTGGAAAGCACCATAATTACACGATGTGGTACAGAGCATTTTAGAGTGAGCGGTCAGTTTCAGAACTGTGGTTCCCACTCTGCTTGAGTGTTTCATTCATCTGCATTGCTGTTCAACATTTGGATTCTGTTGATTTCTGTTCCAGCACCCTGTTTTCCTGATCCATTAGAAAGATTGTTTCCTCTCTCCCAAAACCATCAACATCACTATTAGTCCAATCCTTGTAAAAACGATGATATTGTCTGAGCTCTTTTCCATTGTGCCCCTTGCCTCTTGCTTTCACACATGTAAGACCAGGTACTCATCGCTGCATCTCCACAGGGTCTTTCCCTCCTGCATGTAGAACTCACTGCCGTCACACAGAGGTCAAAGGAAACTCATTTGCCTTCTCTTCATTTGTAAACTCTGCCCTTATCTCAAGTCACTCTTTCCGTAGTGAGCCTAGAGAGGTGTTCTCACAATTCAGGCAGCATCTCACAGAACTATTTTAGTAATCAGCAGCAGTCTAATTTTCAGCCTGTTTTCCCAACTAAGAATAACCTTCTCCAGGTGATGAGTCACGTACACTTTACTAGAAAGGGTGAGCCACCCTGTTGGCATATCTAGATTTTTTTTTTAATACACTTTGACCAATTTCTGTGATTTCATGCCTGCAAGTATGTCACTGGGTGAGCACTTTAATTCTTTAATTTTGACACTCATGCTTCATCTCTCTGTGGCTGTATGTCTAAGAGCTTCATTTGCACTGCCCAGCTTGGAACTCTTCTTCTGCTGCTGAGTCATTTCCTTTGCTTCAGTCTGTCTTTCAGACTTGTTTTTCTGTGCAGCCTATAACTGACATCCTGTTATACTTAGTATACTGTATGAAAATAAAATGTATTGTTCTGTAAAAGAAGAACAGTTGTTGAATCCCTGTGTTTTTTTTCCAGTTCTACTTTTGGAATGTATATTTGTTAATGTTAAACATAATTTTCATAGAAATAAATGTGTGACTTTCCCCATGGTCATGATAGGTATTTAGGCTATATAATGTTGTATGTGGTAGCTCAGGAAACATCAGCTATGTAAAATGAAAATTTTAAATTGCTACTCTTACTTTCTAGCTCTTAACTTCTGGTTCCTACATCTGGATTTTAGCCTTAAGTGGATTGGTAAGTCTTACTGTTTTAAAAATTGCATCATCTGAAACACTGTGTTATGTGTACAGTCAGTGCAGTACATTTGGACTCAAAAAAGAGCTGCAATTACTAAGGAATGTTTTTGATTATAACAGTAAATAGAAAGTTTGTCTTTAAAAATGTGAAACACTGATTGGCTGGTGATAAACTGACATACAGCTGACATAAAACAACAAAATGGGTAGTATTTGCAGTTTGCCAGTGTTATCTTAGCCCTGCAATTAAATTTACTGTCTCAGGCATAGACCCATAAAAGAAGCTTTTGTGGAAATGGTATAAATACCCATTACAGTACTGTTTGCTTGTCTACTTTATTTACCGCTGTATTTATCCTTTTAGAGCAAGCCTCAAGTTTATTCCAGAAATCAACTTTTAACTTCTTACTGGTGGGATTTCATGTTTTGTGCTCCTCCTAGAACACATGCATATAGCCTTTTCATACTGTGATGGAGGCAGTAGGAGTGGGAAATAACTTTATTTGTGTCATTCAGATGAAATTGATGCGGTCTATCTTTTTCCTTTCTGACTCTGTTCTTAGTTTAAAGCACTTACTGCTAAAACACATTGTACTAACTTTTTGAGATTGTTAAAGGATGATAAACTTTTTGAAAAAAATTACAAACTTACAAATTAGGAGCTCTGCCTGTGATTTATTGACTCAAAATACTGTTTGTTTTTTCAAGCAGTGAAAGTACCTCCTCTTCTAAAGTAGATGATTTTGTAAGAGCATGTGGTGACAGGACAACGGGAAATGGTTTTAAACTGGAAGAGGGTAGATTTAGACTAGATATTAGGAAGAAATTCTTTATTATGAGAATGATGAGACACTGGAACAGGTTGCCCAGCGAGGCTGTGAATGCCCCCTCCCTGGAAGCATTCAAGGCCAGGCTGGATGGGGCTGTGAGCAACCTGCTCTAGAGGGGGGCATCCCTGCCTATAGCAGGGGGTTGGAACTAGGTGATCGTAAAGGTCCCTTCCAACCCAAACCATTCTATGATTCTCTGACTATTAGGTTGATGCAATCTTACAAATAACTTAAATTCTATCCTTGTTTTTAAAACCTACTGATTAGAATTTAGATAAACTCAGAGTGGAATGTCTGTGAATATGTCACATATTGCTGCTATAGTGCAGTGGTTTGGTCTCTTACTATTTTTGTGTACTCCAAATGCTCTGTGAGCTAGAAGGACTGACATGAGTGATGGAGCTGTACATGGTGTAGTTTGGTCTCACCATAAATAAAACCAGAATTCCTCTCCTGGAGACCATCACATTCCACTGAGCCCAGTTGAGATTCTGTGACTTCCTCCAAACACTCTACCCTTCCTGTTACTCTTCTAGCTCTTTTAATAGCCCTTCCTTTTGAACAGGTGTTCGTTATGGAGGAAAGGAAAGGAGAGGAAAAGAAAAGGAAAGGCATTTCAACCCCCACTTTCCTGGTAGTAGGAACTGTGTGTATACTTGGTTATACAGACTTTGAAAGAATGGATCAAGCATTTTTTTCATTCCAGTTTCATTGCCTTTTAATTTACAGTTTTATTCAGATGTATAATGCAGTTTTCTTAGGATTCTTCTTCATGAATGACCGTTTTTTAATTGCATGTTGACAGTATGTTTTACATAGGTATAAGCCCCTCAGGAATAAACTGAGCTTTCCATGTGTCATAGGAAGGCTTAAAAAAAGATATTTAAAGTTTCATATTACTTCAGTCAGGATGAATTAAGTCATCATGCTCTTTTCAGTCTCAGGTTTTTTTTCTGCAACGAGTAGATATCTGCACTCTGCTGTAATAAGTGCAGATAAGTAACAAGTGCTGCAATTTGGAAAAAAGTTCATGTTATGAACTATCATACTTTTGTGAATAGGAAGTCTCATTTTCTCATCTGTTGGTGATGATAATTTGGTTTCTCTCAAGAAAGCAGATAAGAAGTGATGTTTCCTAGTCCACTAAGTAGTCTGAAGAGGAATGTGAATCACTATAAGGGCAACTTTTAGCACTTACACTTACACACTCATATGACTGAATGTATGTGATGCTGTTCTGCCATTTAGCTTTTACTGCACTTCTGCCTATCTGGAATATTAAAATGAACTGAGCCTGCATGATTTCTGAATTGTTTTCAGTTTCCCACTTTCTCCTCAGGATGTTTCCATTTTAGGTTTATTGAAATTCTCACTCTGTGTATTTTTAACACACAATGAATGCTGTTAAATGAGACCTGGCTTTTTAGTTACAAGACATGGCACTACAGGTTTCTGCATTTATTCTTGCTAATGCTCTTCTCTATAAATGTCAGGATGTAAAAGAACGTCATGAGCTCATGTTTTCTGTGGTTTTTGTTTTTGTATGTGTTTGCAAATGTGTATGACTGTAGACATGTGGCAGGTAGGCGTTGTTGTAATATGCCTGGTGATAGGGAATTTTAGAGTACATATTCTGTGTTATCAGAATACAGAAGTTGTGTGTGGCTGTCTTTTGACGTAAGATGTATCTTCCTAGGTCACTAACTTTGAATCAGCATATGAATAAGCTTTCAAGTCAACTTTTTACTCTCCAGATGAAGCTGTAATACCTCTTAATTTCCATTCTTTCAGCATGTCAGTGTGGCCCTAGTAGTTTCCATTGCTGGTATGTTGTGTAAAGCATGCTGTATAAATACAGTGTTTATTAAAAAAAAAAAAAAGTATACTGTGAACAAATTCACATATCTTGAATATTCACATATCTAATAAGTACTCTGCATTGTTAGTCTTCTTATTGTTTATGTCTCTTCGTTTCTTGCAGTTTGATTTGCCAGGTATATACCATACATGGCATGTAGAGTCTAGATCTGTTTCTTACAGTAAGTTTTTTTAATGTCATAAAATTAGGGAGCTTCAGATTAGAGGTACAGGTATATCTTGAAAGTCAGACACAGCCTGATTCCATTTCAATTGAAAACAGAAGTTCTGTAATCATTAGCTGATTACAGAGGTGTTTCCCTGCAGTGCATATCATTTATTTTAGTGAAGCTCAGAAAAAAAATTGCCTGTTTTTTCCCTAAATCAGTTGATACATCTTAGAAAACAGTATCCATTTGAATGTTGTACTGGACAAATACATATACATCAGCCCATCCTCTCTCCCTCTTTTCTACTTAAAAAAGAGAAAAAAGTTCCCAGGTTCTCATCTTATATTTCTCATTGGAATAATTTTGCAGGAGTGAAATATGACTTTGTATTTTGTCAGGTTGTAGTTCTCAGATTGTTTGAAAAGTTGCACTGAGATTGACATCTGGTCCAACCCTCCAAATGAGGCAGAGTCAGCTACAGCAGGTTGTTCAGCACCACGTCTCATTAGATTTTGAGTATTTCCAAGGAGGAAAATTCCACAACCTTTCCAAGCAACCTGTTCTAGTTGTTTTTTTTTTGTTTTTTTTTTACCATTTTCACAGTAAAAAAAAGAGTTTTTTTTCTTGTGTTCAGATGAAATTTCAAGGACTTTAATTTGTGACTATTGACTCTTGTTCTACCACTGAGCACTTCTGAGAAGAAAATGGCTCCCTGTCTTCATTCCCTACCTTCAGGCTTTTGTATACATTGATAAAATCTGCTGTGTCTTTTCTTCTCCAAGATTCCCAGCTCTCTCAGTCTCTCATCCTGTGAAAGACACTCTAATTTCCTAATTGTCATCCTGGACCTGTGCTGGACTTACTCCAGCCAGTCTGTATCTTCCTTGTACTGAGGGGTGCAGTACTGGGTGCAATATTCCAGATGCATCCTCACCAGAGCTGAGAAGAGAGAGGAAAGGTCAGGAAGTTCAACACTAGAGTAAGAGGGATTAGGAAATGAGGAAGAAGCATTGTCTGTTTGTTTGTGCTAAATTCTGGACAGGTACGAATAGCCAAATATCCACCTAAATTTGCTGAACCCACCCAAAACTAACGTAAGGTGGCTGCATTTAGGCAATGGTCAATATTCAGTTGAATGACCACAGGTGACTGACTTTGAGATGTGATCTGCTCACTTTTTTGACTTGATCTCCTTTGTGGTGGGAGCTTAGACACCTTGCTCACGTTTGCACGGCTAGCTGACTCCTACATCAGGTAAAGCATCTGAAAAGAAAAATAACTTATTCATCTGTCATACAGGGGATCTTAGTGTGAAAGCGAGGTCATATTTGTTTGTGGAGGAGGATATGCAGATTCTTCCAGTTCTGGAAGAAGAAGAAAGAATTGGGAAAGGAGAGGAAAAGGTAATGATGTGTGTGTCATAAGATACTGTTTTATCCATGACTTCTGAGATCCTGTAGACAAATGGATTTTAGCTTTCAGTGTGAAGTTTACAATTTCTCTGTAAGATCAGAGGAGGAATTTGTGTGCACGATGTCTGGTCCACAGTGCCAATTGTGCCAGTTGGTTCAGGAAGTGGCATACTGCTTCCTGAGCCTTTCTTAGCTGTACACTTACACCACTGTGACTACAGTGCTACAGTTAGCTTAGGGTGAGGTGACTTGTGTCCTAAAAGCACCTACTTCTTCACTGATTTGACAGGGAATCTGTGAGAGTTATTCAGCTGAGTGTCTATTTTGAAGACTTCTGCTGTAGAATGAGTCACATCTCAGCAAATTCTATTTCTCTTTGTCGATTGTAAAGCCAGCTTTAAATTACTAACTCATATGTAGACTTTTAAATTGTAGATGTCTGCGTTAAGGCATTGACAATTTTTTAACAGTAACATTTTAAAAAATTAAATGTTTTTAACAGTATGATTTCTGTTGCCTGTAGAACTGTAGCAGTGACACAAGAAAAGTACAAATTAGGGTAAATATATTGTGCTGAAATGGCAGTACATCTATGCCTACACATACAGAAAAAATGTTTTGAGATCTTGCAGTGATTGTGCTTGGCCATGAAGGTAAATAATTCTGTCAAGCTCTAACCACTATGCAAAATAATTTTTCACATAATTTTGATACTAACCTGCCTTCCTTTTCTTTGTTTGATTTTCTCTTTAATGTCGATCAAGTAAAGAATTTAAAATGTCTCATTCAGTAATGGTGCATGTGTGTCTTTGTCTTGTAAAGTCTTGGAGAGCTTCCTTGTTTGGTCTACCTAATGAAAAAGAGAAACTACAGCTACTGCTACTTCCTTTTTCTTAAAAATGTCTCTTTGGAGAGACATGAGGGAAGGAAGTTGACCTTTCTTATAGGGATGGAAAGAAAAGCCAAAAATTCTCCATTTTATCAGTGTGAACTTGACCGCCACATCTTCCCTTGATAACTTTCTAGAACCTGAAACACTCTGGATGATCATCTATTTGGGGAAAGTGGCCTTTTAACCTGATGTACTGTGTTCAAATCAAGATATAACGATATCATCTTATATTCACTAATAAACTAAGTTGTTTATTTAGACCTTAAATACTAGAAATATACTACATCCATGAGAAAAAGGAAAGTTCCGTAAGAAGGAACTCTACACTTCATCAAAGCTTTTTTTTTTTTTTTTTAATGACCCTTAAAAAGTTCTGCATACAAACCAGCTGAAAAAAAGTTCCTTGGAAATACTTGACGTTAAGATGAATATATGACACTAAACCAGACTGAATCACAAGATGTATTTTAACTACACAAGCCTCCATTTAGGGTTTATTGGAAATATGCAAATAGGTATCTCTTTGTCACCACATGAAACTTCTTGAAGATTTCTTGAAGCTGAGCACAGTATTTGAAGCTTTTACGTTTACATCTAATAGCTTTACAATTGGGGTAGTAAATCAAGGGAAAGAGGAGTGGGAGTGAAGCTGAGGTCCTAGCAAATATAAAGGTAATGAGATGGATGTAGACCATGTACACATAGTACCTATCACTGCTGAATCTGTCCTTCAATCTGTTTTTATTTACCAAGAATTGCAGTCTTGTGATTGCTTTGCACAGTTATTAGCCTACAGTATGTTTCTTGGCAACTACGTGTAGAAGATATACAGATAAACAGATTTATCTTCTTCCTTCACAAGATTCATTTTATTTCAGATTTTCCTCTGAACTTCATATTGTCAGATTTCTCGATCTTCTACTCTGTGAGCACGGAAGATCCCGTTTGGGGTATGCAGTGAGTTTCTAACTAAGGCAGGACAAGGAGCGGCCAAGACATTAGTCTGCTGCTGGGGAAAGTGAGGAGAGAGAAAGAAGGCAGCCCTCTGCACTTGGTGCTGCATTGGCCCTAAACCAGCCGTGCTACTCCAGTGAGCTTGTTAAATCTGGGAAAGGAGATAGGACACATGTGTAAGTCTCACTCTTAGCATGCTCCGTCTTAGTGTTGTCCATAAAATTTAGGCTCATAAAGCCTTTTCTTCTGATTAAGTTCTCTTGATTGACTAGCTATCCCTACTCTTGATTGACTAGCTATCTGTACTCTTGATGGACTAGCTATCTCTACTTAGAAAAATATGAAAATGTACATTTCCGTTTCTGAGACAAACAAATCCCAAAGTACTGGCACAAATTCATGTTGGTGCTGTCCTATTTGCTGCACTTTCTGTGTTGAGTTGATATGACAACTTTTGTGGTTAACATGTTCAGACACGTGTCAAGATTTGTCATACATTCAGGGAGATATAGATTTTCCTATCACTGCTTGCATTGTTTTGTTTTTGTGATTTTCTGAACTCTTTATAGATTATGGTGCCCTGAAAACTTTAGGCCTTCACAAGGGCCTGTAGGTGATCAGTGGGCAGAGATTAATAGTTGGGAGGGACATCTGAAAGAGTTGAAGGAATACTGGTGTGATTTCTGACCAAGTATTTTGAATCAGAGTCCTTTTCTTCTCCTCTGCCTTTCCCTGCAGAATTTCTGGGACCAAAGGCAGAGCCTGGCTCTATAGCCTGATGATACAGGGTGGGAGAAAGGATCTCTGAAATCATCAGATGAAATTTTATGTAATATTTGCAACCAAGATCAATCGTTCTTGCTCCCAAAAGAGTGACCTTCCTGGTAGCCATACAATCTAAGTGTTGAGTAAGGAGTCTATATACTCTTGACATCCATAGTAGCCAGTGGCTAACTACTGAGGTACCTTCTTTGCTGGGTAGGCACCTAAAGTACTACATGCCAAAAGTAGATGATCACAGAAGTGATATGAATAATACTCTTCTTAGGTATTCATTGGAGTTTTATCTTAATTTCCAGTTGATGTGCCCAAGTTTTAGCCATGGGTTTATGGTCTTCTGGAATTGTTTCACTAGAGCTGAGGAGAGAACTGAGGTTATAGGTAATGAAGAAGCTTATTTTCCAGTACCCCATCATTCCTGGAGTCCTTTGAAGACGTTTCTTTAAATACAGACATGTTTTGTTAAAGGCAGCCTTCACTAAGATGCTATAGATGATGGCTTTTCTCTTGTCAAATCTCATTTAACTTCTTCATAGCATGAAAAGATAAGGAGTTAAAGGCAGTCTGAGTTTTTTCTTTCTCATTTTAGAAAAATGTGTTTGGTGTTACATCCAACCCCATGAGAAGTCATAAAATATGATAGAATAAAAAGAAAATCAGTATTTCCCACAGCAGAACTGAAATTATTATTCTAAAAGTTTCATTTTCTCACTAGATTATTAATAACAACCTTGTAAGTAATCTGAAAAAGTTTCCTCTTCCAAAAAATATTATTTTTTTCTAAACTGTCTCCCTTTCTATTTGCAGCAATGAAATGCTTTCTGTATGTTTATACAAATGTCAGTGAGATAAAATAAGAATCCTTAAATCGATAAATTGCCCAGACGTGAAGTTTCTACATTGTTTTTAATGTAATTGCACTAATTTGATATATATCATTTACGTATTTTGGATGGTTCACATCTCTTCCTGCTCATTTCACTCTGCTGTCTAGCATAATTTTGGAGGAATAGCAGATGTTAAATAGTTATAAATACAGAAATGTAGCATAAAGCAGAATGGCAGAACTTGAGGAAGAACTTGACCTTTCTGCGTACCACTTTGGCGTTCAGAGTTTTTCAATGGAATTAAAAATGGTGCTTGAGTGGTGACAGTAGATCATCCTGCGACACAGAGATTTCTGTTGCTCCTGAATCTGCAATGAAATCAAGTTCCAAGGCAAGCATGAGCATGAAAACAGGAATGTTGTTTTGTTTTGTTTTGTTTTTAATAGGTAGGAGAAGGGCACCACGAAGGCTGATTTTCTTCAATGTCAGTTTTTAATGAACTGTTCTTTTTATTTTATTTTTTTCCATAGAAGGCAGATTGGAAAAAGTCTGTGCATACTCTTTGGTAACTTTAAATCAGCTATTTTACTTTTGTCTTTACTCAAAAGTAAAGTTGCAAATGGTATTCTGGGCTCCATCAGAAGAGGGGTGGCCAGCAGGGACAGGGAGGTGATTGTTCCTCTTTACTATGCCCTTGTGAGGCTCCATCTGGAGTACTGTGTCCAGGTCTAGAGCCCCCGATACAAGAAAGACAGGGAGCTGTTGGAGAGGGTCCAGAGGAGGGCCACAGGGATGATCAGAAGGCTGGAGCACCTCCCCTATGAAGACAGGCTGAGGGAGCTGGGCTTGTTCAGCCTGGAGAAGAGAAGGTTGCGGGGTGACCTCATTGCAGCCTTTCAGTGCCTAAAGGGAGCCTACAAACAGGAGGGGAAACAACTCTTTGAAAGGGTAGATAACAGCAGGACAAGGGGAAATGGTTTTAAGTTGAGGGAGGGAAGATTTAGGTTGGATTTCAGAGGGAAGTTCTTTACTATGAGAGTGGAAAATGCCCCATCTCTGGAGGTGTTCAAGGCCAGATTGGATGGGGCCCTGGGCAGCCTGGTCTAGTATTAAATGGAGGTTGGTGGCCCTGCATGTGGCAGGGGGGTTGGAGATTCATGATCCTTGAGGTCCCTTCCAACTCTGGCCATTCTGTGATTCTGTGAAAGGCAGACTTGGAAGTGGTGACAGAAACTATGAGAGAGTTGTTTTTTGTTAAGGCATGTTTACAGTGCTTCAGCATTCTCAAGGGCAGCCTTAGTCTTCTCAGGTCAGCGTGCAGGATATTCTGACCAGTTCCTTTACTAGAAATCAAAATTTCATTTGAATAAACTAAATCTGGTTTCAGGTAGAATAAACCTTTCTCAACCTGATTGAGAAACAGTTATTTGATTTGGATTGAAATTCTGGGGAAAAAAAAAAGAGCAACTTTCTGAGTCACAGGCAGTGCAGTACACAGATTTTGAAATGTAACACTCTGTTTGTGAGGAAGTTGGAGGTAAAGAAATCCCCTATTCTTGGTTCTTGACCTAAGACTCTGGGTAAAAACATTAAAATGTACGTTTAAAATAGAAAGGCCACCTGCAGCTAAGTACAAAGTAAATTTGCTGTATTTAAAGGCTTTGTTTTTTTAACGTTTCATTTTTGCTTTTAGATTTCTGGGATTTGCTACAACAGCAGTATATTAAAAGTTCATCGAATTCTTTGTGTACCCAGCTGGGTAGCAAAGATATTTTCCTGGACTCTTGAACCAATCTTCTCGTCTGCGGAACCAACGAATGAAATCCGAGTGGGAATGGGAGCAACAGTCGACATCCAGAGGCAGCAGAGAATGGAGCTGCTGGATCGACAAATCATGATGTCTCAGGTTGCCCAAATGAGGAGACAAAGGCAGCAGCAGGTACTGATGCATGCTCCCTAAAGATTATGCTTATGGGAAACATATGTTTTCAGTTTGTATATTTTATGGTTCCTGCTTGATGTATTCTTCTCCATTGGTCTTTCATACACTGGCTATTAGCCATTTAGGTGTTTGTATAACTTTACATGTTAAAACTTTCGCAAGATAGAAGCAGAGCATCAGACAGTCCTGTAAGGATATCAATACATCTGGCATTTCTTTCACCAAAAGTCAGCCTGAAAGGTAAAGCGTCTGCCTCTCCATGGTCTTTAGTAAGAGCCATTGGTGAACGTTAGCAAGCTCTCTGGCTGTTCTGAGTATTTGTATTGTTTGCATCCTTTTCAGAGAAAATTGCCTACATGATAACTTTATTTGCAAATGTACTTTGAATAAGGCTTACATCTTTGAGAAAGTTCTGAAATTCAATCATCTAACTCTCTTACAGAGGTCAACCACAGGAACTTTCTCTTTGCTGCATTTAGTGTTCATCTTATTTCCTTACCGAATGGAATAGCAGAGCCCTTTATTTTCTCTGTTTTAGTCAAGGCAGTGAAAGGCGTTCACATCTTTTCTGTTGTAGGGCAGTAAAACAGGGCAGACAGTGTCGCACTTAACTTCTTCTTATGCCTTAAAAATATATGTTGCTGCTCTATCAAACTTATCAGACAGATTGGGCCTTGGATTTCTTTATGTTAGTATACATTGTTCATTAGTTTGTTACAGTCTGACAATTGTGACCTTTATTGAGTTTTCTCTTACTGAAATGCAGCTCTGTACTGATACATGAATTCTTACTACGTTTATGGTAGCTTGTACGTATACCTATGTTACCATTAATGTCTTGACAGAATTAGATGTGGGATAGCATAAAGCTCTGGCTTTGGCCAACAACTGGAGTATATATCTTTATTTCCCTGGAATTTGATCTTCTTCCATTTCTTAACATTTTGATCTGAATAAATTGTTCCTCAGATGGAAAGATTCTAATCTCTGTCCCAGTTAGGACATTTACCAGTTTTAATGTAAGAAATGAACTAGAAATAATTAAACATCAGTGTTCTGATAGAAGGCGCTTTGAAGGTTGTGTTTTGGCCCACAAGCTGTTGTGAAGATTCAGCTAAGTTTCATCAAATGAGAAGAGAAAGAAATTGCCAGTTATGAAAGACAATCTTTATAATATATTTTGAACAGCAAGAAACATTAAATAAGTTCAGAATTATAATTGATAAGAGCTGATAACATTTTCTTCTTATCCTTCTCCTTTCCTGGGATTACGAACAGTGAAATTGGCAAAATGTCTTTTCACTATTGACTTCAAATAGAGGTTTTTTATAAAATATGGAGGAGTTCAAGTAAAATAAATGAGTGTTATTTGAGCAGCAGTGACATGGTTTACCTTAAAAGTTGCTGAAACTCTTTCAAATCGCCTACATGACTGGTCTTTAACTTTAGTGCGACATTTTGTGATCTGATAGTGCTGAATTGTGAAACTGGTGTGCAGAAGGCAAAGGATCCAATGGGTGAACATTTCAGAAAAGTTCTTCAGAAAAGATGTGTTAGGGAAGCATTTACCAGGCTTTGTTTATGACTCACAGAATTTACTGGATATCAACAAAATCATGAATAGTGCCCTTCACAAAAGCTGAGATGCAGTGGTACAAAAAGACAAACAGGATAATTTCAGTCTCCATATTCAAAACTTGAAAACAGTTTTCCAGATTGTTGTAATTGTGCAATTCTTTTGCTTTTAGAAGCTTACAAAGGCATAATTTGAAGACAGTGGAGTTGAATGCATCGCATTGCATATGGAATTTAGATGGTAATGCTACCTATGGGACTGAAGCTGGTAAAGAACACCAGTCAGTGTCATTGGGAGGTTTTTTGTGAAACTAACAGTAATAAAAGCTGTGAAGTATATCAATCAAGTTATCAAATACAAGTTTGAGTTATATTGCAAGAGAATATCATGCAGATTTTTGGTATCCCAATATGCTGTCCATAGGTGAGATAAATTAATGTTTTCTCCCCTGCATTCCTTGTTGTTTGCCAAGGAAAGGAAACTTTAACTTTCCTCTGCACGTCACTGTGCAGCTATTTTCTTGTTATCCCTTGGGAAGGCATTCTGTTTGTTCCTCCTTTTCCTTTACTCTTCAATTCTGTTTGGGAAGAGGCAGTGCACTTTCCCTACGTATTGTTAGCATATGGAAAACACAAGAACACAATGTATGGTTTTAACAGTGCTCCACTGTCCTGCAGAATGTGGCAGACTGTCCTCTGGCTGTAAAGAAGCCCCTTTCATAAAAGGACCCTTTCTGTACTAAGCTCATTCTTCAGGTTTTACAAGAAATTCTGACAAATGTGAGTCTGACGGTACAAAAATAGGAAAAGCTTAAAAACAACAGGGAAAAAATAGGGGAAAAAAACTTTCTTAAGTTCTTTATACTATAAGATACTAAAATATAGAGGGGTTTTTTTGTTTTTTGTTTTTGTTTTTTGTTTTTTGTTTTTTTGCATTTACTGAGTTCTTTTATCTGAAACAGAATTAATTTTGGATGTTTTCTATGGGAAGAAAAAAAAACAAAACCAAAGAGAACACAGAATTTCCTTGCTGGCAGTTCTTAGAGCTTTGCTTTGCCCAGTCTTTCACTCGCAGAAATGTTGCCCGCAGGATGCTGAAGCAGAGAGGTGTGTGTGTGACTGCTGGGCTGCCAGACACAGCTTCCAGGAGCAGGTTGAGTGAGGGACACAGCCTGAGTATAAGCCACCAACTTTGTTACTTGATGTACTTGGTTTTAATTTAGCCCTGAGATGTGCAGTGCTACTGTGTCTGCACGTGTTGTTAGAAACTGAAAAATTACCTTACGTTGCTAGTTTCACAGGGGAGTGTGGTTACATGGTGTCTGATTTTTGTCTTGCTTTCTAGTTGCTATGGGTACAGTCCTTAACCAGATGGTGGTGTGCATGTTGAAAACTTTTTGTGCTTTTTTCTCTTCTGCTGATAATCCTGACAAATTCTGAACGTGTCAGTTCAGAATTACTGAACATCACCTCCATCCACCTTTTGAGGCAGTGAAATGTGTGCTACCACCCTCCAAAATATCAGCTTGCTATTTTTTCCTTTTTAAACTCTAGTTTCTTAATTCTTTTCCTCCTCTCTCTTTTGTCAGTCCGCTTTTCTCATTTTAGTAATGTATCCTCTTGTTTTCCCTTTTTTCCATAAATCTCTCTTTCTTTCCTTTGTTTCATGTTTTCATTCCCCACTATGTCGTTTTCCTCCCAGATTTTCATCTCTTCCCCTTCATTTCAGTTATTTCCCATACTTTGTGTTTCCTCCTCTACATCCTTCTTTGCTCTGGAGAAAATTCTTTCCCATCACATCTTACCCATCAGTTGGCATTTGCAATGCATCCTGATGGCATCTTCTCTTTCTCTCTCTCCAAACAGAAGGTAGTTTATATCTTCAGGCACTATTTTATCCTTTTGATACTGTAGTATCAATGGGACTTTTTGGTCTTTCTCTCCTGACTTTTGCATTTCTGGATCTGTTTCATTTCCCAGCACTTTTCTGAAGTTTATCTTTCTGTAACCCAAATGAAAGCCCTAGTGGGAAAGGGGAAGAAATTGCTGCATGTGTGCACTGGGGTACTAGCAGGGAGCCAGCCTGACTTTCACTTCCCATTGACAAGCTTGGAGGGAGGCTGCAGATAACCAAACTGTAAATAGATGAGGGAGGAGTGCGTGCGAGATGTTGCTGGCAGCACTGATGTCAACTGGGTTATAGGAAGGTTGTGGAAGATTGCAGAAAAGGTGGTCAGCACCTTCTGTTGATTATTAGATACCACTTCTCCTTTTAGTGCTTATTCCTGTGCCCATTCTGTATGTGGGGTTGGAGAATGAACCCTGGTCCATTCATCTTAAAAAAAATGCTCTCAGTAGCCTTTATTCACATTGAGCGTATTGAAGACACTGTCACCTGCCTCTTGGTTTCTCTTAACTTTTTGGTTCAGAGAAGAGTTTCACTGAGGTGCTCAAGGGTCTGTGATAAGCCTACAGCAATACATGAAAATATTTTCTACTGTTTCCTCTACTTTTAAGCTTTTTTTCTGGGGTGGGTGTTCTCCCTCCTGTCTTTGTTTTTCTGTTCCAGCTCTTGCTACTTTTTATTGAGGCCGGACCCCCTTTGATTCATATCTCTGATTCCCCTGCTTGCAGAGACCAGACTTCTTCTGTAACAATGCTGCTTCCCCTAATTGTTCATTCACTGGATGTCTTCCTCCTGGGACACTGGAGAGATGCTCTGTGGGGAGATGCATTGAGTGTCTTTATTGTTACGGGGCGTCTCATATCCTGAGAAATTTGCAACTTACTTATTTTGCGAGCAAAGGACTGAGGCTAGATTACCGATTTACCTTTCAGTTATATTTAAGTAGTAAACTTCTGACCTCGGAAAACAAAATTTAATGGAACAGTGACTTTCCTAAGAATTCCTCCTTAGGAATGTTGTCTTTGCTCATGGTGCTAGAAACAAATCCCTCAGTGAACATACCGACAGTCTATTTCTGCCATCTGAAGGAAGAACCACATCTGAACATACTTCATTTTCACACTGACGCAGAGAGGTGCTACTTTAGCAAAGTCTTCTGAAGTAGCTTGAAAAGCTTGAATACCAACAACAAATGCTTCAAGAGGCCTCTTGGGCCCTGGAGATGTCTTGCAATCTTTACACATTGCCAGCTCCCTGGAAGTTCTCACGGAACGTTAGATGGAAGGAGCTTGTTCGTACTGACCCACAGATGTATCTATCATTGTTAGAGAAGAATGTACCAGACAACTTTACCTTAATAAATGAGGGAGGTTTTTCAGCCCAGTGTGACGCAAAATCCTTTCCTCTAATTAGGCTTCCATTCCAATGGGGGTGTTGGTTGACGCTCGGCTAAACATGAGCCAGCAGTGTGCCTGGGCGGCCAAGAAGGCCAATGGCATCCTGGCTTGTATCAGAA